TGGAAAAATCCCCATTAAGTTGCATTATACTGGTTTACATGAAAAAAACCCTATTAAGGTGCATTATACTGGTTTACATGGAAAAATCCCTATTAAGTTGCATTATACTGGTTTACATGGAAAAATCCCTATTAAGTTGCATTATACTGGTTTACATGGAAAAATCCCTAATAAGTTGCATTATACTGGTTTACATGGAAAAATCCCTATTAGGTTGCATGATTACACTGAAGTCCTTGAAACTGTTGAAACCTTGAAACTGTTGAAGTCCTTGAAACTGTTGAAGTCCTTGAAACTGTTGAAGTCCTTGAAACTGTTGAAGTCCTTGAAACTGTTGAAGTCCTTGAAACTGTTGAAGTCCTTGAAACTGTTGAAACCTTGAAACTGTTGAAACCTTGAAACTGTTGAAACCTTGAAACTGTTGAAACCTTGAAATTGTTGAAACCTTGAAACTGTGGAAACCTTGAAACTGCTGAAGTCCTTGAAACTGTTGATGTCCTTGAAACTGCTGAAGTCCTTGAAACTGCTGAAGTCCTTGAAACTGCTGAAGTCCTTGAAACTGTTGAAGTCCTTGAAACTGTTGAAGTCCTTGAAACTCTTGAAATCTTGAAACTGCTGAAGTCCTTGAAACTGCTGAAGTCCTTGAAACTGTTGATGTCCTTGAAACTGCTGAAGTCCTTGAAACTGCTGAAGTCCTTGAAACTGTTGAAGTCCTTGAAACTCTTGAAATCTTGAAACTGCTGAAGTCCTTGAAACTGTTGAATCCTTGAAACTGTTGAATCATTGAAACTGTAGAAATGTCTGAAAGAGCTGAAGTCCTATTAAAATGCATGGGCCTATTAAAATGCATTGCAGAATTCTCAATGCAAATTAATGGCAGAATTCCCAAGCCCGTAGAAAAAAACTGGAAAACTGCAGAACTCTAATTTTTTCTGAAAACTCACAAGTTGTGGAAGCTGAACATGCACAAACTGCAGAAAATGCTGAAAATGTTGAAGAAAATTCTGAAAACTATGAATTTGTGGAAGCCCCATTATAAGTCAATGGGAAAAATCGACCGATTTTTGTCCGATTGCGGAAAAACCGGAAATCGCTGAAGTCCCAAAAGTAATAGCAATAATCTCCCAAACATGTGGAACGTTTTGATGTATAACTTGTGGAAATTGTTGAAAATGTGAAAGCTGTGAAACGTGTCAAAAATCAGGAAAAAGACGGAATAAAGAACACCAAAACCAATGGTTGACTGCGGAAGGTTCCGCAGTCAATCAATAACTAGAAACCGTTGCAATGGCTGAAGCCATTGCGATTGACTGCGGAACAGATCTAATGTGGAATTTAGCTGAAAAATCCTTGAAATCCTTGAAACTGTTAAAATACTTTAAACATCTTTGAAACTCCTGAAGTATTTGAAGCTCCTGATATCCTTTAAACTGTTATCCTTTATACTGGTTTTCATGTAAAAACCCCTATTAAGTTCCATTATACTGGTTTACATGAAAAACCCCTATTAAGTTGCATTATACTGGTTTACATGTAAAAAACCCTATTAAGTTGCATTATACTGGTTTACATGGAAAAATCCCTATTAAGTTGCATTATACTGGTTTACATGTAAAAAACCCTATTAAGTTGCATTATACTGGTTTACATGGAAAAATCCCTATTAAGTTGCATTATACTGGTTTACATGTAAAAATCCCTATTAAGTTGCATTATACTGGTTTACATGTAAAAACCCCTATTAAGTTCCATTATACTGGTTTACATGTAAAAACCCCTATTAAGTTGCATAATACTGGTTTACATGGAAAAATCCCCATTAAGTTGCATTATACTGGTTTACATGGAAAAATCCCTATTAAGTTGCATTATACTGGTTTACATGGAAAAATCCCTATTAAGTTGCATAATACTGGTTTACATGGAAAAATCCCCATTAAGTTGCATTATACTGGTTTACATGGAAAAATCCCCATTAAGTTGCATTATACTGGTTTACATGGAAAAATCCCTATTAAGTTGCATTGTACTGGTTTACATGGAAAAAACCCTATTAAGTTGCATTATACTGGTTTACATGGAAAAAACCCTATTAAGTTGCATTATACTGGTTTACATGTAAAAACCCCTATTAAGTTGCATTATACTGGTTTACATGGAAAAAACCCCTATTAAGTTGCATTATACTGGTTTACATGAAAAAACCCTATTAAGTTGCATTATACTGGTTTACATGGAAAAATCCCTATTAAGTTGCATTATACTGGTTTACATGGAAAAATCCCTATTAGGTTGCATGATTACACTGAAGTCCTTGAAACTGCTGAAGTCCTTGAAACTGCTGAAGTCCTTGAAACTGCTGAAGTCCTTGAAACTGTTGAAGTCCTTGAAACTCTTGAAATCTTGAAACTGCTGAAATCCTTGAAACTGTTGAATCCTTGAAACTGTTGAATCATTGAAACTGTAGAAATGTCTGAAAGAGCTGAAGTCCTATTAAAATGCATGGGCCTATTAAAATGCATTGCAGAATTCTCAATGCAGATTTTTGTCCGATTGCGGAAAAACCGGAAATCGCTGAAGTCCCAAAAGTAATAGCAATAATCTCCCAAACATGTGGAACGTTTTGATGTATAACTTGTGGAAATTGTTGAAAATGTGAAAGCTGTGAAACGTGTCAAAAAAAATGACGGAATAAAGAAATACAAAACCAATGGTTGACTGCGGAAGGTTCCGCAGTCAATCAATAATACATACAAGTATGATATCGGCAAAGTGCTAGATATTTTCCCTAACAGCAGAACTCACATGACCTGTGAATTTGTTGACTATGTAATAGGCACAGCACAACACTACACACCAATATTTACTAGAAACTTGCAATGGCTGAAGCCATTGCGATTGACTGCGGAACAGATCTAATGTGGAAATCTGCTAAAAAAAATCCTTGAAATCCTTTAAAAAGCCTTGAAACTGTTAAAATACTTGATAGATATTTGAAACTCCTGAAGTCCTTGAAATTGTTGAAACCTTTAAACTCCTGAAATCCTTGAAACTGTTGAAACATTGAAACTCCTGAAATCCTTGAAACTTTTTTAAACCTGGAAACTGTTGAAAGTGTGGAAACTCCTGAAATCCTTGAACCTCCTGATATCCTTGAAACTGGTTAAATTCTTAAACAGCTGAAATCCTTGAAACTACTGAATGTATTGAAAGTGTCCTTGAAACTGAAAAATCCCCTCACCGCTGAAACAATTTGGTTCCTGTAACTAAGGAAACCTGGTCTGTGGTCATTATCTGGTGGTGGTCTGAGTCTTCGTTTGGGTCTTGGTCTGGTGGTATAATGCAACCTATTAGGTTGCATTATACATGAAAAAACCCTATTAAGTTGCATTATACTGGTTTACATGAAAAAAACCCTATTAAGTTGCATTATACTGGTTAACATGAAAAAAACCCTATTAAGTTGCATTATACTGGTTTACATGGAAAAATCCCTATTAAGTTGCATAATACTGGTTTACATGTAAAAACCCCTATTAAGTTGCATTATACTGGTTTACATGGAAAAATCCCCATTAAGTTGCATTATACTGGTTTACATGGAAAAATCCCCATTAAGTTGCATTATACTGGTTTACATGGAAAAATCCCTATTAAGTTGCATTGTACTGGTTTACATGTAAAAAACCCTATTAAGTTGCATTATACTGGTTTACATGGAAAAAACCCTATTAAGTTGCATTATACTGGTTTACATGTAAAAACCCCTATTAAGTTGCATTATACTGGTTTACATGGAAAAATCCCCATTAAGTTGCATTATACTGGTTTACATGAAAAAAAACCCTATTAAGTTGCATTATACTGGTTTACATGAAAAAACCCTATTAAGTTGCATTATACTGGTTTACATGGAAAAATCCCTATTAGGTTGCATGATTACACTGAAGTCCTTGAAACTGCTGAAGTCCTTGAAACTGCTGAAGTCCTTGAAACTGCTGAAGTCCTTGAAACTGTTGAAGTCCTTGAAACTCTTGAAATCTTGAAACTGCTGAAATCCTTGAAACTGTTGAATCCTTGAAACTGTTGAATCATTGAAACTGTAGAAATGTCTGAAAGAGCTGAAGTCCTATTAAAATGCATGGGCCTATTAAAATGCATTGCAGAATTCTCAATGCAGATTTTTGTCCGATTGCGGAAAAACCGGAAATCGCTGAAGTCCCAAAAGTAATAGCAATAATCTCCCAAACATGTGGAACGTTTTGATGTATAACTTGTGGAAATTGTTGAAAATGTGAAAGCTGTGAAACGTGTCAAAAAAAATGACGGAATAAAGAAATACAAAACCAATGGTTGACTGCGGAAGGTTCCGCAGTCAATCAAATATAATACTGCAAAAGAAGGGTACTGCTCACTAGACCGTGAAGAAAAAGGTAATCCTACACCATGACCACCGTGTGTTTCATAAAAGCAGAGTTATTATTATAGATCAATGGTAAAAGCACATGCACAGGAGACAAACTTACAAAATAAGCTAATCCCTGATGTCACGGATAACACTTAACCACAAACTACATCCCAGATACCACGTACACATACGCTCCAACATAAGTTAGCTAACACCACAATTATTTGTAGTAAACAACATCAATCTGCGTAGCAAGCAAGGAAGCTAACGCTTGGACCGCTAGCGGCATATGGCTAGCGGGACGTAGCCACCACTAGCGCCAAGCTAGCGGTACATTGAATGCATTCATAAAGTCTTCTGCGAGACATAAACAGCCAAGATAATGTAAAAAACATTCTTGTGATACTTGAATTGAAAACACGTCTTCTCCGGGAGCCTAAACACAGAGAGTACACTATAGCTTGCAGTAAAGATGCTAGCAACTACAGCGAATACTAACAGCGTCATGACCAGGGAGTCTCATCATAGATCCAAAATAAGGTTTGCTGTCATTTTAGCTTACCGTAGTGCTGTGTCCGTAGATGGAAGGAAGTCATCCTTGAAGTGCTTCACAGAGGTTCTGATGCTGGGAGGCGGTGTGATGAAGCGTGTGGGTTACTACACCCAATAACCGAACATTTGGACTTATTCGCTGGCATCCTTGAGCTTGGACTACAAATTCAAAGCGATACACAGAAATGGCGGCTTGGCGGAAGTGATTAGCCAGACCATGCCCTTATATAGCAGTCCCACTGCAAATACTGTGACGTAATAATTCAAAACACGTAATAAAGAATGGAAAAATCAGAACGGGTTGTAAAATTTTACCAAAATAGAATATGATGTGTTCTATGCAACCCATGAAGAGACTGATTTCAACTTTTTAGCACTCCTAGAGACTTCAATTACAGTGGATTTTTCATGATATGTCCCCTTTAAAGGGGAGCCCACGGTCATTGTCTCCAGCTCGTTCCTTGTGGGTCTGAGTGTCTTACCTAACCCCACCAGTGTTGTAGCCATCCACAGAACGTCACTGCACACGGAGGCCATACACATGACTGCGCTGAAGCCGCCACCGTACCGTCGCTTGAAGGGGTCCATCATGGTCACACATTTGAGCTCTCGCATCGGTTTAGCAAACACAAAGCCACCTGAAGGAAAGACAATGCATGGTATTCAAGAGCCATAATAACCAGTATAATCATTCAGCCCTTAAACAGGATCCAGTATTTATTATATGCTTTAGAATGTGGACAACATATCAGCCAGGTGAACTGGGGCCCCTGACACAAAAACCTTGCCCTTAAAGCCCATTACCAGTTGTCTTGGACCTACAAGAAAGTGATCTTGGTCTGTAAAATGTGCTGTATGAATAAACCTTACTTACTTACTATACCTAAAGTGAGTTAGAGCTGGTTAGAGGAACAAATAGTAACACCTATCAGCAAAAATCGTAATATCTCATCTCTCTGGTACAACCCAAAACCTTAAAAAAAATATGATGAGCCCATCAAAAACATGTGATGTGAAATAGCAAATTGACAAGTTAAATTTCTCTCATCTCACCCATCTGGAATAATTCTTTATTTACAGCTGGAGTGTGACATTCTAGCCTCTGCAGTAGAAAGGTGAGGTCTATTGTGCCAAATGCAGCTGAGGTACGGCAGAACTAACGCTGACACTAGTCCATTATAGCAGATAGTTGTAAATCATTTGTCACTTAGACTTGTGTCTTTTCAGTGCTATGATGAGCTCTGAATGGATTGAAAGATTTAAAATACATTATTTTCCTGTAAGATCGCGGCATAGTTTTTTCAAGGATTTTAGATATAAATGATTTGTAAAGGGCCTGTACATTGTTGTGTGATTGGTGTTTTCCAGAGGTGTCTGCCACTGCCTGCTGTATCTCCTTTGTTATATGTTTCTGTGTTGTATTCTGTTTATACTGTTTGTCTGTTTAAATGAAAACATGGAAAAATAATTACATATTTAATTCTCCATTCAACAAAAATCATCGACTTTTCATTAAGAACCACAACTATAACCACACAAGCCTCCAGGGGGCAGTGCAGCATACCCAGGTGTAAAACTGCTTTTGCACAATCAGCATTTTCATATAAAGCAATAAAGGAATGGAACGAGCTCACTACAGACCTGAAAACTCAAACAGACAATATAACGTTTACAGTAGAACTTAAAAAGTGGTTACGGAGCAATCAAAGCTACTCAAATTGCGGGTCTGTGTTTATTGCCACTCTACTTTGGTAACACAAAATTATCCATAATCATCTGTGTCAACCAGTCAACTTTATCTCCACCAATACAGGCTTGTTACACCTCAATATGAAGCTCAACTTACCTTCAACTCACTGACTGATATTTTACATTCAGCCAACTTCAGCTCTGTCATATGTGAATCATTGTGGAAGTACCTCATTTATTTTGATAGAACTGTAACTATCTGCACAATGGCAAAGAGGGAAGCGCTAATGCCTCACGGCAAGGCGAACCGTCCTCGAGGCACTCTGGTTTTCCCCACCACCCGCAACATGCTCCATAGGTCAAATCTCAGGTTGTCTGTCTCTTGACCACTGCCCCTGACAGAGGCCCGTGAGGCTTCAGGTGGCTCTAAATGTAGAGGACACATTTTCCTATAGGGAGTGGGGACAATTAAAGACCTAGTGCAGGGTTTGTATGTTTTAATACAATTTCATATTAGAAGAGAACTACTAAAGATTTCAAAATCAATTGTTGTTTTTTGTCTGATCCTCCCAAATCGAGAAAAGACCATAGCAGTGTCCTTAGAAACGAACAAAATCATACCGGCGCTTCTCCCTCGGTGACGTCATTGCGGGGGCCGATGTGATCCTCCATATTGTCGCGCTTGTTTACAATTTGTTCATCTATTTTTTGCACTAAATCGGTGGATATTCAAGATGACAAGAAGATTGTTGCAATGCACTGCTCACAGGAGAAGATGAGGCTTTGGACTGAAGACAGGCCTCCTCTCTGACAATGTTTAAAACCAGGTTTAAAACAGTTCTGTTTAGCTGTGCATATAACTGAGGGATTTTATTTTTTTAATCTTTATTTTCAATGTACTGTGATTATTTATGAATTTAATGCTATCGTATTTTGTTCAGCACTTTGAGTTGTCTTGTGTATGAAATTGTGCTGTACAAATAAACTTGCCGTGCCTTGCCTTGAAGAAGGCTACATGTGTTAAGAGACTAAGATGGATCCATGGGATGGACTTGATCGCAGCCTCGGTGAGAACGGCCAATGAACTTCAATGAGTTGCAGAACTACGGGACCCTCTGTTTTGTTCATACTATGTTCCTCACACGGAGACTTTACCATCAGTGGAATCGCTACAGCGAGCGGCGCTTGGAGTGCATGAATCCAGTCTGTCAGGATAACACTACATTGACATGAAAATCATTAATTATTAACGTGAAAACATTGTCGGAGATGTGAGAACTGCTTTTTTGAGGTAGACATTTTTTCTGGGGGAGACCCCTAGAACCCTCTTTACCTCGTGGTCTCACTGGTGTATGCAACATGTTTATATGTGTGAGTGCTGCTGTCGAGAATTGAGTTGAAGTTGTGTCTGTAGGCAATCCGTTGACGTTTTTTGTTGTTGATGTAATGGCGTTTGGATGGCACTTTTCACACTCACAGGCCCTAACAAATAGTTAATAATTATTTCCCGTGTTTGAGTATTTGTGCCGATCTGCATCAAGTCGCTCTCCAAATGCTTCATCAAGTCCTTTTCCGGGTCTGCATTCATCTCTTCTCTTTTTCCGAGGAAGGAGGCAAAAGGTGTAAGACTTCTTCTTCAAAAACATAGTGTCTAAAGCAGACTTGGAGATTCTTATCCATGCATTTGTCTCCAGTAGGTTAGTCTACTGTACAGGCCAGCTCACAGGTCTGTCCAAACAGGCTGTAAAACAGCTGCAGTACATTCAAAATGCAGCAGCTCGAGTCCTGACTAGAACCAGGAAGTACGACCATATTAGTCCAGTCCTCAGGTCTCTGCACTGGCTTCCTGTGGCTCAGAGAATAGACTTTAAAACAGCTCTGCTTGTGTACAAGTCTCTCCATGGCCTCGCACCAAAATATATTAGTGACATGTTAGTCCCATATGAACCAGCCCGGACTCTGAGGAGCACAGGGACTGGACTCCTGTTAGTGCCCAGAGTCAGGACTAAACATGGGGAGGCTGCTTTTCAGATTCATGCTGCTAAAATCTGGAACAATCTTCCTGAAGATGTGAGACAGGCCTCCTCTCTGACAATGTTTAAAACCAGGTTAAAAACAGTTCTATTTAGCTGTGCTACAACTGAGGGATTTTATATTTTTATCTTTCTTTTTAATGTTCTGTGATTATTTATGATTTTAATGCTTTCTTATTTTGTTCAGCACATTGTGTTGCCTTGTGTATGAATTGTGCTACACAAATAAACTTGCCTTGCCTTGGCTTGCCTTCTTCTTGTAACTGGCTTTGCTCTTCATTCGTTAATACTCAGTTCATAGACGAGGTTTTTTCACATGTTTCTCGTTCGTTGTCGGAATCACTGTACATATTGAATGAGCCGCTGTGAAGTCACACACAATTTTTCAATAAAATGAAGGATAATTTTTGACAGAATATATTTCAGATTGGCATTAAAGGAATAGTTCACCGTTTTTACATACTGACATATGTTCTTACCTTACCTTAGACTAGTTAATATGTACCTGTCTGGTCTTAGTCCGTGCGCTCTGTCATGCAAACGGAGCAAAAACGGGAGCACAAACGCAGCCTCCTCTGTATACTGTATAGTACCCAAAAGGTAGCTTCTAGCGGGAGCTACCAAACTCTTCCAAGTGTTCCCTATTAAATGTATATAGTTACGTGACGTGTTACACTGCAAAGTATAGTAACACAGAAATGTAACTGTCGATTTTCTCAGCGGATAAAACGGGTACTATATTGTGAGGTGTAGTAATCTGAGGAGCGCTACGTCCGCGCACTAACTTCTCTCCATACTACAAGTCACGCTGCTTCTATTGACGGAAGTGAGCGAGAGAGAAGTCTCCGGAGAGAAGTTAGTGCGCGGACGTAGCGCTCCTCAGATTACTACGCCTCACAATATAGTACCCGTTTTATCCGCTGAGAAAATCGACAGTTACATTTCTGTGTTACTATACTTTGCAGTGTAACACGTCACGTAACTATATACATTTAATAGGGAACACTTGGAAGAGTTTGGTAGCTTCTAGCGGGAGCTACCTTTTGGGTCCTATACAGTATACAGAGGAGGCTGCGTTTGTGCTCCCGTTTTTGCTCCGTTTGCATGACAGAGCGCACAGACTAAGACCAGACAGGTACATATTAACTAGTCTAAGGTGAGGTAAGAACATATGTCAGTATGTAAAAACGGTGAACTATTCCTTTAATTGATTATCTGTCTTTCAATTTTGATATCCGCTAATTATTGGACAAACCCTGCATAAGGTCTTTAAGGGTACCTTGATTCTGTCAGTATTTTTGCTGTCTGTGTGTGAGCGGTTTCCTCTCACCTAAATTACAAGAATGTCTTCAGACACGTGAGTGCAGAATACTTACAGAGAATAAATGACACGGCGTAGGCCAATAGCATGATGATGACCCGGGTCAGCCCCATGGAGGGGGTGTACACCATCTCCGTGGTGCCCACGAGGAAGGCCCCTCCAACCCATGTGGCTGTGGGACACACAAGAAGACTTATTAGATGTCATTTGTGGCTAAATTATATTTTATGGCTCAATAGCAGCATTCATGATGAGATGTTAAAATGGCCACCATGGCATGTTATTGATACTTTTAATGGATATTTATTTTCAAGAAAACATTACATCCCTCAGTTAATTCTAAATAAAAATAATTAGCAATAGTTTAATTGAAAATACACATTTGACCAATCGGTCTGGCATACTCAGTCACTTTGGTCAAGTTTTGGTTTAACCCAGTGGGGGTGGGTTCCAGCTCAAAAGGGTTCATGAGTGCGCTGACATGCTTGTAATCTGGCTTTGGACTTTTGCAGCCTCGTTTAATGACTAACGCAATGCGTTTTTATTATCACATTTTATTGCGGGAGGGGCCACTAACGAACATTTTTTAAAAGACTGCAGGGGAAAGAGATGACACATACGTTTCAACGGGTAATAATTACAGTCTATGAGTTTAATTACAGGTGTTTTCTGTACACCTGTGCTCTGTAATTATCTTCACAGTAGAACTTCCACAACAAATTTAAGAACAGTTCAGCTCAAAGTTTAGTATAATAACAGTAACACAAAAGTAGCGTAAAAGTAATAAGTCACGTAATAAGTTACTTTCTTTAGAGAGTATCTAAGTAAAGTAACAGGTTACATTTTAAAAGAAGTAAATATTATTAGAGAAAGTTTTGGCCCTTGTTGTTGTTTTGAACGACCAGCGTCATGTTGGAAGACTGTGTTTGTGGAAACAAGCTGCACATTTGGTTTCAGATGAATGCATACAGCGGCGATATGTGTAATTCTTCGCATTTGTCAACAAAAATATTGTCAAAGGGCCTAGCAAAGCAGTATTTGGCATTGCCTCATGAGAGTTTCCATACCAGTGCAAGATCAAATGCTCTGTTTAAACTGATAACATGTGGAAAGAAGCCGTTAGCATACCGAGATGTCTAACATCTCAGCAAACAGTATCTACTGCCCGAGGGAAGAAGCTGGAACATGACTTTTCCAAGGTGGCCAGAAGAACATATTTCATATAAACATATTTGTAGTGCAAAACATATCCGAAGAATGCTAGCCAAAGCACAACCCACTTAAAAATGTCAGAATATAGTTTACTGACTTGCTCATCTGTTGATTAAATATTTGCACTTTTGTGTTCAGGTAATAAACCCTTCAGGGAAGTTCCTTAAAAAGAGCCCTTGTTGACAAAGTTGTATCTTGCTTTATGCCAATAAAGCATGTCTTTTTTTGTAAATTATCTTGTTTACTTTTTAATTTATGCATTTATGTTTGATGAAAAATGTTTACTGTAATGTTCGGAAAGTATGTTTTACAGGGAGGGGGGAAATTGCAATGGCACCACAAAGTCTAGTGGTGAGCTCGAAGCCACGACCTTCAGGCTGGAAGGCCAATGCTCCACCAACTGATCCACTGTTGCCCCTATTGCCAATCACCAATCCCAGATCCCTAATTTAGGCCACTCAACATGTGACATCAACACAACGTTAATATCAGCTTTATTGACCATTATGGCCTCTTTGCAATCTCAACACAAACCTGTTCTCACACACAAAATATAACACAACGACATGACGTTATGTCATTATTTGTATTGCCTCAAATGACAATGACACTGAACTAGGGTTGGGCGATATTTTTTTTGTACCGGTACCCTGCACTCTCTTTTCATTCTCCTTACTTCTTCGTTTCCTCCATGGGGGTACAGATTTTGTTCCGGTAGTTTTTGTTTTCAAAGGAGCAACCTGAATCTAACGTATAAAAACTCTGAGAATTCCTTAATAAAACGGCAGCACCTCTTTGGTGGCCTATAAATTATGACTGCTAAAATTTTGGGGTTGCTAAAAACAAGAGAAAGATATTCAAAACTTGAGTATTGGTTAAAAGTGATAGGTTTGGTGGCAAGAGTGTTAGTGCATAGTGAGGCTGTGCCACCGCCCCCTTTTCCCTTCTCTTGTGGTAAAAGCAAAGCTAAAAATTTGGGGGAGAGGCCTCTGTGAGAATAGCCGATGCATCTGAACCAAGCCAGGTCTCAGTTAAGAACATAACATCCAGGTTTTTTTCTAAAATAAGATCATGAATGATAAAAGTCTTGTTTAAAAGAGAACGTAAAAGAGCTAGGCTTATGGTTAAAAGAGGTGTTGGCGGTGTACCTTTTTGAAGCAGATTTTATTTTGTGCAAGTTAAGTTCAAAGAGGGGCTGTAAGGAGCAAAGGACGTGGAAGGCAGGGAGGGGCAACAGGGATGGGATGGTGAGACATGGTTTCCTGGAACTGGAGGGTCTGTAGGGACTTTCTGAGGCTGGGATCTTGTGCTGGGGAGAAGAGGGGGCTGGTGTTGAGGGACGAAGCAGGTGAGATGGGGGATGCGGTTGTGTTGTCAGAAATATATGGAGCGGGATTGTGTGGATGATGTTGGAAGTGAGGTAACCGGTTGCACAAGGGGGGTGATATGAAGTCCATCTCGTTGGAAGAAGAGGGGGTCGGTCCCCAACAGTTAAAATTGTCCCTATAAAAGCAAAGTGAGTGACGAATTGATTGAGCCGAGGTGTTAAGTGATAAAATTCTGCTAAAACGCTCCCCGCCACGGGCCAGGAGAGGGCCAGAGATAAAAACAGTTTTTTCCAATAGCAAGTTTAAAAAGGTTCCTGAAAATGGAGTTTTGTGTTCTCAGACTGGCGGAGTGATGGTATCGTTGGTACCAACATGGACGATGTATAAGTAAATTAAATGATAAGAAAATGCCTTATACCGGTGAAAACAATCATTTAACACTGAAAACAGCGAGCGGAAGACACGTTTGTGTGCGGCGCACTTTGATGACGCATCTGCGCGACACGTGTAGCAGAACGGCGTGCAGGGACAACAACAACAGAGCAGAGAGCAAACATGGCTGAGGGTGGCGGTGAAGACCATGGTGAAGACATGCAGATTGTAGAAGACATTGTGCCAAAACGCGAAGCTACCTCAAACATATGGGAGTAGTTTGGGAACTAGATAAAAAGAAGCAATTGTGTGTAACTATCGACAGTGGATCTAATGTTGTGAAAGCAGCTGCCCTAAACAACTGGACTCGAGTGGCTACTTCGGACACTCGCTCTCTCTCTCTCTCTCTCACAGTGCCATTGGTAAGCTTTATTTACTGTTTACTGTAACTAACGATTATTTTGTAATCGATTAATCTATCGATTATTTTTACGATTAATCGAGTAATCGCTTGGCTGTGAATTGTGTAGAAAAAAAATATTTTTTCATCACAAAAAGCTAAAGTGGCAACACTCGAGGACGTATTGATGGCGTAAACTTAAAGTAAATGTTTGTAACAAGCTCTTTGTGCTAATTCTGCTATCTGATTGGATGAGACAGACAGATATTCATGTAATTATAAAAACAAAGTCGGTTTTAATCAAAAAATACTACATTTTCATGTCATTTTTGCTCTGTTTGAGTCCGTGTGAACCAGAAAACGATTAATCGATTACTAAAATAGTTGTCGACTATTTCAATAATTGATTAGTCGTCGATTAATCGATTAGTTGTTTCAGCCCTAGTTTACTGTAATTCATTTTACTTCAATGCATGTGTTTGTCTACATTGCAATATAATTACATAATTATAGAAACGCAAAAGGATACAAAATATATATGCAGTATTTGATCATTTTGACTATATTGGGATTAGGAAACATAAGCCAAAGTGATCAAATAATTATTTTATAATGCTACACTTTTTATATTACGAAGGACAAACTTTTATATATTTTACAAATTACAAATGTTCACCTTTATTGCATGTTGCCTGCAATTTTCAGTATGTACAAAACAGAATTATCTACAATTCAGTTTTGTTAATACGTTTTATATACAATAGCTGTATTACACATTTTGCTGCCAATAAATCAGTAAATGCACTTTGAGGCAAGTGTGTTTAAAATTATCAGTGCTAAGTTTTTATAGCTTTTATATGAGGCTTTGTTAAAATTATCATATCGTTATATCGTGATACATACCAAAAAAAATCGTGATACATGCTGAGGCCCATATCGCCCAACCCTACACTGAACACAAATATATACACTGCACACTTGTTTTTGCTCGCATTTAAGTTAAAGTTATAACGCTCTGCATACAGGCATAACAGACAAACCTCTATCATATAGTGTTCACAAACCTGTCGAAATCTCTTTTTTGTCACATCAATCCTGCTCTCAGTATAATAAGAGATGTTCAGTTAGGCCTCAGAGGTTTGGTCAGAATGTTCGTGAACCGCTTAATGAAGTCCAAGGAGCACTCCAGAGAGGTCAGAAGTCAGGATTCGGTTATACAAACATTTCAGAAGCTTTGACCATCTCACAAAGCACTGTCCAATCCATTATTGGGAATGGAAAGTGTGTAAATCTACCAAGACTCTGCTGCCTGCCCAAACTCACAGCCCCAACAAGAACATCACTGATCACAGATTTAGACAAGAGGCCCATGGTCACTCTTGAGGAGCTGCAAACATCCACAGATCAGCTGCGGGAATCTGTACATTTGGTGAATATTATATATATAATTTTTTTTAATTTGTTTAATTTTTATTATTATTATTGAGTAATACAAAGACATACAGGATTGATACATAGACATACAAAAGTGATACAAAGACATACAAAAGTGACACAAAGACATACAAAAGTGATACAAAGACATACAAAAGTGACACAAAGACATACAATAGTGATACAATGACATACCAAAGTGATTGGTACAACAGCAGAAAAACATTGAAGCAGTGTCAAAACATGGGGACATACAAAGAAATACAAACATTAAGACAACATGAAACATTACCATATGGTGTGTGTGTGTGTGTGTGTGTGTGTGTGTGTGCATGTGCGTGTGTGTGTGCGTGTGTGTGTGTGTGTGTGCGTGCGTGCGTGCGTGAGAGAGAGAAGAAAAAATAAATAAAAAATTCAATCATCAAGATCATCAACACCAACCTTATTTAATCCGACTTAAATGTATGTTTTATGAGTTAAGAGATACTCCAGCCTCCGCCTTCTTTGTCTGTTATCTGCTGTCTATGGATTGTGTGTGTGTGTGTGAGTTTCCAACTGCCAACTGCCAACCACCTTGGTGACCTCTGCCAGGGAGATGGAAGTATCCGCCCCAACATCCTCAGCCTCAGCCCCCGGGGCGGAGGACGTGACGGGGGGATTGAGGAGAACCTCAAAGTATTCCTTCCACCGTCCGACAATATCCCCAGTCGAGGTCAGCAGCTCTCCACCCCCACCATAAACGGTGTTGGCAAAGAACTGCTTCCCCCTCCTGAGGCGCCGGACGGTTTGCCAGAATCTCATGTGTGTATATGTTTATTTATTTTCCCTTTTTAAGTTTCTATTTATTTAGAGTGTGGTGAATTAAAAACACAAAGGATGACGGTGGCTGGGATCGGGGCTGTGGTGAAATGAGTTGATGACCGGTGTTGGTGGTGATGACAGCGAGGATAGAAGATAGAAGAAAGAAAAAAGAAAAAAAAGGGTGTGAGATATAAGCAACATATGATAGAAGATTAAAATGTCCTGTTGTGATGTGAGTGGCTTTGTTGATAATTATAAATGAAAATGTGCTATGAATGATGCCCATGTTTCTCCCTTCTGTGAAAAATATTAAAATAAAAAATAAACTCAAAATAAACAAATATGAAGGAAAGATAAATAAAGATTGTGTATGTACGTGCATGTACATAATAAAAAATGATGAAAATAATATAAGTAATAATAATAATATAACACTAATAATAATAATAACAGTAATAGCAACAATGTAGTATGTGTACGTGCGTGCATGCATGCGTGTGTGTGTGTTTGAGAGCGAGTGGGGGGATTGGATACTGGTGTGGTGTGGATAAAAGGAGTTGGCTCACTGACATTGGAGAGGAAAGTTATGGAGAGTTGCAGAGAGTTAGGGACAAGTTAGTGAATAAAGTTGAACGATTTAAAGTAATGCAAGGTCTGTCAGTGTTGGTTTATGTTGGTTGTGTGTCTGCTGAGTAACTGTCAGAGGGGGATGTATATTCCATTGCAATGAAGTCTGTTAATAGATTTTTCCATGGGGTGATATTGATATTTCGGCTTTTCCAGTTCATGAAGATAGTTTTCTTGGCGATGGTTAGAGCTTCGAGAACTAGTTGGTTGTTTATTGTTTTATTGTTGAGTATGGTGAGGTCCCCTAGCAGGCAGAGGGAGGGGGATAATGGGACGTGGCAGTCCAGCCAGGAGGACAGTGACAGTGTAACCTCTTCCCAAAAGTGTTTGATGGGGGTGCAACACCAAGTGGCATGGATGAAAAATGTACTGACACAGTACATTTTTGAGTGCAGTGTGGACAGATATCTGAAGTGAATCCCATTTTTACTAATCTTTCCCTTGTGTAGTGAGTTCTGTGTAATGTCTTGTATTGTATTAATTGGAGATTGGCATTTTCGAGAGCAATTGTGAGGTCCATTTCCCACTTGGTTGTGGGAATAGATATTGTTTGAATGGGTTTAGATATTAATTTATATATTTTTGAAAGTAATTTTTTACAAGAAGAAATGTTAATCAGGTTTGAGATTGATGGTGGCAGTTGGAAGTTTTGGTTATTTTTGCTTGAAGCGAGGATTTCAGCTGTAAGTATTTCAGAAACTGATTGCTCCCGATGCCAAACTCCTGAGTCAATAATGGGAATGGTATGAGTGTGTTTGTTTTTAATATATATTTTATATTTTGTTATATTTTTAAAGTATAGAAATAGAAGTAAATGTGGAAAAAGGAGCTGTGGTCAGAGGAGACCAGCACTAACACTATCAGTGTGAGTTTTGAGCCAATATTATATAAGGCTCCAGACTAACACTGCTCACAGCACAGTTTAACTTGAGGCACAGATTTGTAAAGCAGGTCAATGAATTTAGAGCCACCACTTTTGTTTAAAAACGGCGGAAAACAGCTCAGTCCATGTGTGAAAAAGAAACATTCTGACAGAACGGTCAGTGAGACATGTTTGAACCAGACATTCCTCATATTATCATTATACACATCCTTCCACACTGGTCCCATCTGACCCATACCTGTCATGGTGAAGACTCCCACCACCAGCTTGATTTTTCGGTTCCCCAGCAGAGTCATCTCGATCTCAGATGCGCCCTGTCTCTTCTGTTCCCTCCTGGACCTGAGAGAAGCCCAGATGCCCGTCCCCAGCACCACAAGGTAGAAGAACACCATTGAAATGACTCCGGGGATGTTGACCGCCATGATGGAAGCTGAACACAACCGCTGCTACTGCTGTGCTGTACTGTGCTGTACTGTACTGTACTGTACTGTACTGCTGTACAAGTCTCTCTGGAGAAGTGGTGCAGCCTGAAAATCCAGGCTTAATGAACCAATAGAGAGTGAAGGGCTGAGCCACAAACAGCTGTTTTTCAGCTGACGAGATGTTTTGGGTGATTCTACAACTAACAACAAATCCTTGCTTTATCAGATTCAAAATTTCAGATTTTTTCCATTTTCCTAAATTAGCATACCGCAAGATGAGCTGTGGGACAAATGTTCAAAAATAAATGTGTATTATTTTATTAATAAATTAATAAAGAACCCTTGTCCTTGAGTCCAGTGTTACACTTTCAATCCATCATAAAAATGTTGTTCAGTGGCATGTATTATACAATTTTTTCACATATTAAATTGAAAATGATGAATTTACTTTAATGTGTAGTATGCTTGTCAAAATATTATATTGTATTTATTTTTTATAAAAATTAAACCTGCCCTCGAGGTTCAATGTAATTTCCATCACACAGCATATAACAGTTCATTTGTGAGTTTTCTTTGCTTGCAACTACAACAATTGTCATTTCACAGTAGTCATCTGCGGTTGGAGCAGCATTTTTAGCATTGCTGGCAAACAATGCTGTCCATCCAGTAGAGCTGTCCATCCAGTAGAGCAGTCACAGTATTCAAACAGCATACAACGCTGGAGTACAAACTCTTTGAAGGAACACACTCAATTAGGGCCGTGTTTGTCCAGGTGTAGTAGTAAATAAATAAATAAATAAATAAAAATCATTTATATTGCACCTTCCAAGGAGCAGAGCCACAAAGCGCTTTACAATTGTGGGGATTTGTCACTCACTCCACACAGAGATGGAAGTCGCCAGTATGCATGCCAAACCTATTGTTAATGTTTTTAGTGGTGGGGGAAGCGGAGCACCTGGAGAAAACGTACGCAGACCCAGGGAGAACATACAAACTCGTTCAAACCGCCAACGCTGGAACGCAGCTTCCACGTGCACTAGACGCATTTCAGATGCTAGGGGTGTTCAGACCAGAAGTCTTGGGCTGAGGTGGCGCCCGATGAAAGTGGTGGGCGGGCTTTGATGCTGACGGAGTTAAGCTAGTGGCTTTTTGCGCTAGTTCTTCTCCAGGAATGCAGCTCTGCAGTGTCTCTGTGTCCAGAGATCTTCCATAGACTTTATATAACAGTAGTATGTGTTCACTGAGGTGCGGCAAAAGTATGTTTTAATATTAAACGGTACTTCCATATCGGCGAACATGCTAGCTTCACTAGTTTACAGTCACTGGAGAATGATAACCCTGGCAGGAGGTCTATGTTCACAGGCACTGTGTTCCTCATTGTCAACCCTGGTTTAGTCCTGGTTTAGCTCTTGTTTTGGCTTACAAGTATTTTCAGTCTGCTTGCTTGACCGCTGATGTCCCTGTGATCACTTTGCAGCTCTCTGATGGTTGCTGTACGTGCGTCCAGAGTAAAAAGTTCAGCAATGTTTATTTCCTGCTTGCGTCGGTTTTCCGCTCCTGCGCCTCTGCTGCGCAGTCCGTGCGTCTCTACCACGCTATCCGTGCGTGCGTGCCGAGACACACATGCAGTTCCACACTCAAACGCCCGTCACCATTGACTTTGCGTTAAAAGTTTCTGCTCCCCACTGGAGCAGAGACAGGGAGAGTCCCTGTCTCTCCCTGTCTCTGCAGCGGGGTGAGCGGGCAGGGCACAGCGCTGGAAACGAGCTAAGCGAAGGGACGTGTACACACTTTTGAGGATCGCTCTCAACAACGTCAATTCCCCTGTCCCGTGGGTAAAAGTGCCCCCCCCTCTCCCACAGCAGCTGCATGTCCATATCTGAGGGCCTGGAGGACAAGGGAACTCGGCAATCACTGGATTGTGATCAGGATCCAGGGAGACCGTGTTGAGCTCTCTGATGGAACCAAGCGTTTGGGAGTGGCCCGGTATCGAGGTGGCGCTGAGGTGTTCCTGATTGACAGCAGGGTTCCTGTTTTTTGACAGAGGACGTTCTGACCAAGATATGGAGAAAACAGCCTTTTTGTGAAACACACATTTTCAAGCAGAAAAGTTTTTTTTTTTCTTCACTGATATTTTACAATGTATGAAATAGTTTCTTATTATGACACAAAACAGAAACAATGCAAAGAATTGTATTTTTTATGTGAAATTATTTTAAACATATTAAACAATGTGAGGTGCCTTGCCCTCTCTGGGTGGGCGGAGCAGTCCTTCCTCAAGTGGAGGGGTCTTGTTCACGAGTGAGGGAAGGATGGAGCGTGAGATTGACAGGCGGATCGGTGCAGCGTGCGCAGTGATGCGGCCGCTGTATCGGACCGTCGTGGTAAAGTGGGAAATGGCCGAAAGAACGAGATCGCGGATACAAGCGGTCGAAATGAGCTTCTTCCGCAGAGTGGCTGGGCGCTCCCTTAGAGATAGGGTGAGGAGCTCGGTCACACGGGAGGAGCTCGGAGTAGAGCCGCTGCTTCTCCACGTCGAGAGGAACCAGTTGAGGTGGCTCGGGCATCTGTTCCGGACGCCTCCTGGACGCCTCCCTGGGGAGGTGTTCCGGGCACGTCCCACCGGGAGGAGGCCCCGGGAAGACCCAGGACACGCTGGAGGGACTATGTCTCTCAGCTGGCCTGGGAACGCCTTGGGGTCCCCCCGGACGAGCTGGAGGAAGTGTGTGTGGATAGGGAAGTCTGGGCATGGAAAATGGATGAATGGATGGATAAAATATGTGAACACACAAATCATGCATTGCAGTATTAATAAATTATTAATTGTCACACAAAAGGGTCTTTAAAAAATGTGTAATAAAATGTAAATAGTGTACACTTTACAAAAGCTCACAAAAACTCTCAACTAACTATTAGTAACTGACTTAATAAATCATGCGCTGCATGATAAAAAATTATAAAAAAATTCATAAAAAGATCCTCCGCTTCTTTGCAGACAGCGGCAGGAATACGCGACCGCTCACACGTGTGACTCTGTTGGTCCTGATTGGTCCCTATCTCTCACTATTCCGCTCAGACCAGCCCGTGCTGATCATTCAGCCTCAGCACCTCCTTCTGTTTTATATATTTATTGATAGGCAAACACAAATATACATTTACTTGCGCAAAAAACAAAATGGAACATATTTGCATATACCTTTTTTCCCACATTTTTTATGAAAAACAATAAAAAGAAAACACAACCTCAGATGTCACAAAGTGCAGTAGATGAGACAAAATATATCGGCCCATACGGCTGATAGACACAACAAAATAATAGATTATAATAGTAAAATAGTCAGCAGTAATACAACCCAATTGCACAAAGGTATAAACACAGCAACAAAAATACCATAATGATAAACTAATTTAAAAAAAACAAAAAAGTAGAGCAGAACAAGTAAAGAGAAAAAAAAAAAAAAACAACAACAAACAATATATATAGTGTGACTATATACATACATAAAAAATGATAATTAAAAAAAAAAAAACAACATAAAAAAGGGGTGGAGATTAAGTCCTGATACATTCAAAATAAATCAATAAACGATTGCCTCTTTTTATAAAATCTGTTCAGGCTGCCCTGTCTAGAATATCGAATTTTTTCCACCTTTAGAAATGACATCACCTCATTAATCCACAGTGTTTTGGAAGGTGGATTAGTGGACTTCCAATGAAGGAGGAGATGGCGCCTGGCCATCGGAGACGTAAACGCCAAAACCTCCAACTGTGTCGATGAAAAATGGGTGGGTTCACTAGGGAATCCAAAAATGGCTATGCATGGGGAATTAGGAATAGTCTTGAGAAGTACCTTAGACATGGTTTCAAAATAAGATTGCCAAAAATCTACCAAAGTCGGACAGGAGAAGAACATATGAGTGAGATTACAGGGAGAGCCTGAACATCTATCACAGATGTCTACTGTATTCGAAAAAAATCGGGCTAACCGAGTTTTGGAGTAATGGCATCTAAACACAACCTTGAATTGTATTAACTGCAAACGGGCACAGACAGAAGTCTTGTGGATAATATTTAATGCCGAATCCCACCACTGTTCATCAAAAATCAGCCCCAGCTCACGCTCCCAAGCCTCCTTTATTTTGGTCGTTAAATATCCATCATAAGACTGTATTTTACCATACATTTTAGAAATTAGGGATCTCTGTGAATAAATTAATTGCAACAGTTCTTCCCAAACCTGTTTGGATGGGAGTTGAGGAAAGTTAGGGAAAAGTGATTTAACACAGTTTCTCAGCTGAAAATACCTAAAAAGGTAAGAGGTTGGGAGATCGAACTCACTGGCCAAATCTGTAAAGGACCGAAAGTAATTATCTTTATAGAAGTCTTTAAAAAGCACCAAGCCTTTATCATGCCATTTAGGAAAGACGGGATCAGTGAGACCAGGTTTAAACACATGGTTTCCCAGCAATGGAGTTAATACTGTGGGAGTAAGAAATTTAAATTGCCTTCTGAATTGAAACCATATTTTTAAAGTAGAAATGACCACAGGGTTGCTAGTAAAGCCAGAGGGGTTGACTGAGACCAAACCAGTTAATAAGGCAGGAAGAGAGGACTGGGGACATGACTGTGTTTCCAATGTACACCAAGGTATAACAGCAGATTTCAACCAAAATGTAATTCTTGTAATATTTACAGACCAATAATAAAACTGAAAATTTGGCAGAGAGAGGCCGCCAATTTACAATTCTGGAGAGCTTTTAGTCTGACCCTGGGTTTCTTGCCGTTCCATAAAAATTGAGTTACAGTATAAGTGAGTCAACATTTTTGAAAAACTGATTAGATAGAAAAAGGGGTATACACTGAAATAAGAACAAGAATTTCGGAAGGACATTCATCTTGACTGCATTAATTCGCCCAATCAAAGTAAAGGGCTCGACACACGGGAGGCGATAAATGAGAGCGATCAGCAAAACTCAACGCTGTCGCTCAGATAACATGCGGCTTGACGACAGCGTCGAAAAGTTGAGCCAATTTCAACTTTCTGGGATCGCGTCGCTGACCTGCGCGTGCACGATACATGCACGAGCGGGAGGATTTCACACGCACGTTTTTCGCCCGTCGCTGAGCAGGAGGCTCGCTAGCGATTGACGCTATGTCGCACACGTCCCATTGAAAATGAATGGAGGCGATGCGATGTCGCTGTGTGATGAGCCCTTAAGGGGGAGGGAACCCCATCTCTGAAATTCTGCCTTTATCTCAGTCAGTAAGGGGGAAAAATTTAGAGTGTGAAGAGATTCATAGGATCTGCCAACTTTTACCCCTAAATATTTAAATCCTGAAGGACTCAACTTGAATGGAATGTCGGGTTGTACAAGCTGCAATGCTGGAGAGTTGTTCGGATAGCACTCACTCTTCATAACATTAACTTTATACCCTGAAAACAAGCCAAATCTACGAAACAGTGAAAGAATATTGGGACATGCAGTGACGGGGTCTGTGACATACAGCAAAAGATCATCAGCATATAAAGAAAGTTTGAATTCTGTCCGCAATCTCATAATGCCATTGAAAATATGAAAAGATCTCAAGTAAATGGATAAAGGTTCGATAGCGAGCGCAAAAAGGAGGGGAGAGAGGGGACAACCTTGTCTACAGCCGCGACTTAAGGGAAAATAGTTAGACCGGACATTATTAGTAACAATACTGACACAAGGTGATGTGTAAAGGAGGCGTATCCAGGAAACAAAACCATTACCAAATCCAAATTTTGTCAAAACCTCAAACAGGTACTCCCATTCGACTCTGTCGAAAGCTTTTTCTGCATCAACTGATATCACAACTTCCGGCAGAGCTGAGGTTTCCCTAGAGTATATGACATCCAGCAGAGTTCGAACATTATAAAAAAGCTGACGCCCCTTTATAAAGCCAGTTTGTTCATTCAAAACAATGCCCGGAATAACTTTTTCTAGACGACCAGCTAGAGCCTTAGCAAGAATTTTGGTGTCCACATTCATTAGTGAGATAGGTCTGTATGAAGTGCAGAGTTCAGGATCCTTGTCCTTTTTCAGCAAAAGGCTAATTGAAGCCTGCCTCAATGTAAAGGGGAGGGAACCAACTGTCAAAGATTCAGAATAAACTGAGAGCAACAATGGAATTAATTGCTCATGAAACGCTTTAAAGAATTCGACCGGGAACCCATCTGGACCAGGGGCCTTATTATTCTGCATATTTTGTAGGGATAATTTAAGTTCCTGAATAGTCAATGGAGAGTCTAATTGATTGGCTGTATCAGTGCTCATACGTGGGAAAACTAAATCATTCAGAAACAAATGCATGTCTGATAAATCCGAAGGGAGCTCTGAACTATATAGAGAACCATAGAAGGAAGAAAACACAGAGCTAACAAGAACTGGATCTTCCACCAGAGTTCCTGACTCGTCCTTAATGCGAGGTATCAGACGTGAAGCTGCTTGTTGTCGTACTGTAACTGGTGAGCTAACAGCCTTCCCGACTTGTCCCCATACTCATAATATCTAGAGCGAGAATGTAATAGCAAACGCTCTGCTTCGTCAATTGAAATTAAATCTAACTCTGTTTTTTAAGGCCACACGGCGTTTTAATAAATTGGGTGAAGGGGCAATTGCGAGCTGTTGATCCACAGACTGCAATTCTAGTGAGAGGTTTTGGGTCGTCAACAACCGTAATTTCTTAATGCGTACTGAATAAGAAATAATTTGACCACGAAGATAAGCCTTCAAAGACTCCCATAAAAGTGCCGCCGAAATGGGCTCCGTCTCAGACTGGTTCAGAGAAATAAAGTCCTTGATTGCGCTTAAAACAAATACATGAAATTTGTCATCCGATAGGAGAGATGTATTAAATCTCCACTGAATGGGATAGCGGGGTCCCTGTGTGATTTGAATGTCTAATGATAAAGGTGAGTGATCTGAAACAACAATAGGATGGTATGAAGTGTCAGTTACTTTAGACAACAACCGGGAATCTATGAAAAAGTAGTCAATGCAGGAAAATGTATGGTGTACATGTGAGTAGAATGAGTATTGTCTACCCATAGAATTGCGAAATCTCCAAGGATCAATGTAGCCATTATTTGACATAAAACTACTCAATGTCTTGGCCATTTGTGATTGCATCAAGCTGGGTTTGGAGCGATCCAACTGAGAATTTACAGCACAGTTTAAGTCGCCGCCAAAAATAAAATAAACATCATTTAAAGATGGTAACTTTTCAAATAGGTTATTCATGAAGCGGGGATTATCGAAATTGGGTGCATATACGTTAACAAGTAACACTGGGATTCGAAATATATGTTCCCAAGATAATTAAATATCTGCCGTCTTTGTCCGAAATAATTTTTGGCCAATCATGATGGCAACCCCTCTGGCCTTGGAGTTGAAGTTAGAGTGGAATACTTCTGCAACCCAAGGGCACCTTGGCTTCAAGCTTTTTAAATTGGAAAATACCCTACAGCGCTTAACAGCACTTCCCAAACCTCTAATGTTCCAACTGACAAACCTCACATTAGAAGCCACTGCATGAAAAGTTCGATTTTCGTCACCCTAAACGGCAGGAAATCACGCTCTTTTTCGGGTATCTCAGGCAGTTTTCAAAGTTTTCAGTTAGGGTGCCCTGTCCTCCAAACTGCCGCATCCGTACCATGCTAATGTCCCTACTTTGCATATGAATGCAGCTAAACACTGCGGCCGGCCGAGCGCTAATGGCCCTAATTAGCATATGAGTGCAGCGGCTGGCCAGGCTGCTATTCAGCATTGGCGGATACCACTACTTTCAAACTCGTGATTGGCTGAAAAATCACACGTGGCCAGCCCACGTGGGATTACTCCCCATTGGTAGCTTACTCCCCATTGGATGAAATCACTACTTTCAAATAAGTATAATCTCTCGTGATTGGCTGGCAGATCTGTCACTATTGGTCACCCTGCCGCATAATTAATGTAATAATATTTATATAAATATATATTTATTCATATGATTTTTTGTAGAGGAAATGAAAAATGTCCAGGAATATGTTCATACAAAGAAAGCTTTATTAAAACACACACACACAGCTTTATGCTCACACATAGGTAAAATTACAACTCTGAACTGTCCAATAGCCTCCTCTGGGTTGTAATTTGGCAGCGTTCTAGATAGACGCTTAATGTGCGTGGCTCTGTACTTCCGCGCCGCCTCTAACCGGGACTGCAGCTTTACACAGAGTTCAGAAAACTCCGGCTTTCGAAAAGACGGCGACCGCACAATCCACCCAGAGACACCGTCCACAACGCCTTCTTCTTCATTGGACATTAGGTCTACCGTGGCGGACTACCAGAGTTCCACTCTGTCACTTTCTAGCACACTCAGTCTCGATTCCAGCAGCTGAAAGAATCAGTAAATATTATTAGCCACATCAAATCCTTTTTCCCATCTAAACATTGCCAGGATCAAAAACATAGTGCCTTAAGCAGACCTGGAGATTCTTATCCATGCATTTGTCTCCAGTAGGTTAGACTACTGTAACAACAGCTGCAGTACATTCAAAATGCAGCAGCTCAAGTCCTGACCAGAACTAGGAAGTACGATGGCAAGGCAAGTTTATTTGTCTAGCACAATTCATACACAAGGCAACTCGAAGTGCTGAGCAAAATAAGAAAGCATTAAAATAAATAATCACAGTACATTAACCTCCTAAGACCCGAGCACTTTTTTGCAATGCATTTTTTATTTATCTTGGCTAATTGGGCATATTGGGGCCAGATAAGAATATATACTAAGCATCATCTCTTGACATGATGTACATTTTGAGAAAAATGCTGTCCACATATGTGGACGCTCGGTCTGAATTTCCATAAAAAAGGCAATTAAGTAACGACTGTGTAATAAAGTGCAAAACGCTTTATTTCGACACAAACATTTGATAAATGAACATGAAGGAACATGTTCAAACATATCTCAGTGCAAAAACAGCAAAAAGAGTACTCGGATGATCCTGGGAGCTATTTGTCTGGGGATTCATGCCCCTGGTAGGGTCTCCCATGGCAGACAGGTCTCGGGTGACGAATCAGACGAAGCGCAGTACAAAGCCAACATAAATAGCATGATATTAAGAACCGTGACGTCGCCCGGCATGGCACAGGGGTTGCAGAGGCAAAAACCCGGGACTGGGAGGAGTTTGGAGAGTCCATGGAGCATGACTATCGGTCGGCCTTAATAAATTGAAGATATTCTGGCCAACCGTCCGGCGCCTCAGGAGGGGGAAGCAGTTCTCAGAGCAGTTTCTCCTCTGTCATTTCTCCCCTCTGCTTTCTCTCTCTTCTCTCCTCCCTCCTTTCTGCTCTCTCCTCTCGCTCTCTTCGCTCTGCTCCTCTCCCCTCCCTTCTCTGCTTTCCTCTCCTTCTACTGCTCTTTCGCTCTTTTCTGCTCTGCTCTTCTCTCCTCTCCTTCTCTCTGCTCTCCTCCTTCTCTCTGCTCTCCTCTCCTTCTCTCTGCTCTCCTCCTTCTCTCTGCTCTCCTCTTTCTCTCTGCTCTCCTCTCCTTCTCTCTGCTCTCCTCCTTCTCTCTGCTCTCCTCCTTCTCTCTGCTCTCCTCCTTCTCTCTGCTCTCCTCCTTCTCTCTCCTCTCCTCTCCTTCTCTCTGCTCTCCTCCTTCTCTCTGCTCTCCTCTCCTTCTCTCTGCTCTCCTCCTTCTCTCTGCTCTCCTCTCCTTCTCTCTGCTCTCCTCCTTCTCTCTGCTCTCCTCCTTCTCTCTGCTCTCCTCTCCTTCTCTCTGCTCTCCTCCTTCTCTCTCCTCTCCTCCTCCCTGCTCCTTCTCTGCTCCGTCTCTCTGTTCTCCTCTCCTTCTCTCTCCTCTCCTTCTCTCTGCTCCTTCTCTCCTCTCCTTTTCTCTGCTCTCCTCTCCTTTTCGGCTCTCACTCCCTTTTCTGCTCTCCTTTCTGCTCTGCTCTCTCTTCGTCTACTCCTCTCCTTCCTCTCTCGTTCTCTGCTCTCTCCTCTCACTTTTCTCTCTCCTCCTCCTCTCTCTGCTCTCCTCTCTCCCCTTTTTTCTCTCCTCTCTGCTCCTCTCTCTCCTTTCTGCTCTCTTCTATGCGCTCTCCTCACTCTTCTTTCTCCTCTCCTTCCTCGTTCTCTGCTCTTTCCTCCCTCTGCTCTCTCTCTCGCTCCCTTCTCTGCTCTCTCCTTTCTGCTCTCCTCTCTCGCTCTTGTTCTCTCCTCCTCTCCTCCCTCTGCTCTCGTCGCCTTTTCTCTCTGCTTGGCTCTTTATGCTGTTGTCTGCTTATCTCTGCTGTTTCCTTTTCTCTCCTGTCGCCTCCTCTCCTTTGTTTCTCCTGCTGCCTCTTCCTCCTCTGCTGTCTCTATATTTTATTTTCCTGACCTAACATACCCTAAACTCTTTTTTTTATCCCAGATCCAACATGATGTCCACACTCGACGCACAACCGTGCTCCATTGTCTACCTGCTTTCCTGCGTGAAGAAATATCAGGGGTTTTCATCACTTCAGAAGTAGGTGCCTGTGTAAAAAATAATTTTAAACTACTTTATCCTTATTTGTTTCAATCCATCTTGTATCTGTGTACATGTTGTCACAGGAGGATGCAGAGGTGCCGGATCTATCCACTTCACCTGTAGCCCTTCTATCCAAAGTCCATTTTGGCGACCGCCCAGTGAACTATGGAAACTACTGTAGGTCTTCGTAGTGTTGGAGGGTCAAGAGGTTGTGACCTTAGAAAACTTTCCAGAAGCCTTCCTGGTAATGTTTGGACTCATATACGCATTTCACATCAGTTATCCCAAACAGCTGAAGCTAACGTTTGAGTTGGTGCAAAAAGTTATTCTTGCACTTGATGATGGCAAGCTTTCCCCTGGACTGCAGACTTTGAAAAATGAGTTGACAATCTAAACGGATAACCTTTTCAACTGTCTTTTTCTGTGTGTATTTTTTATTTTGTTAAATACATTCAAGACACACAAACTGTAAAGCTACCTTAATAAACATGTGTGAACTGTTGGTACACTTGCACCTAAGCCAATCTGGCTTTAAGAATTGATTTACCGATTTTTGTTGTTTGAACAAAAATAGTTCAGGGGCTTGACTTTTCAAGCTTTCTCTCAGACTAACTTTTCCCTTTTGAGAAACTTCCTGTTGAGTAAAAGAATTGTTGTACTCTTGTTGGCCTTTTATGGCTCTAATGACATTTTGTAACATATTTTGCATTAATAAAAATGTAATTTTCAAAAGTCTTTTTCACTTACCAAATGATTTAATGTATTTTTGATTAAATGGTAACTTAAAGTTTTGAGGTAAATGGTTGCCTTACTTTTTATAAGTTCATGGTATTAAATTACTTGATTGCTACAAGTTAAAAATATTAAGTAAGCAGCACATATATCTAATGATTTACTTGTGTTAAATTGGATAAAAAATATATTTTTTCAGCAATCAAAATATAAGATTGCTCTGAGATAATAATTTAATTACAACTAATTCAAAAATACAATTCTCACTTAAATTAAAAATGTTTTTTCACTGACCGAAAAATTTAACTCAAATCAAAAACTTTAAGGACACAGTACATAATCTTTTTAAATTGGAGCAATTAAATACTTCAATACCATAAAGTTAAAAAAGGTAAGGCAACCGTTTACATACATTTTTTTAATTACTTCTAAATTGTTCGGGTTTACAGTGTATGTGAATGAGATTGTTTTTCTCTCTAAAGTCTAAACTATTTTGGAGCGCTCTTGGCTTTTCAACATGCGCTATGTAAATAAAGATTACTTATTATCTTAATAATGTGAAACTTTTTAAAACCAGAAACTCTTAATATAAAAAACAAGACTCAAATCTCAAAAATCTTCAAACTTTAAAATATGTATTATGTACTTTTGTACTGTGTGTTTAATTATCTTGAACATTTATCTCAGCATATATTCTACTAATTTAAAATAATTGCAGCATTTTTCAAATGAAGTCAATATGAATTGGAGCACATTTTAGAGCCAGGCTCCTCTGCTGTGGCATCAGCAGGAGCAACAAGGTCAGGCGTGTAGTCAAAACAAAAACGTCACCACTTGAATGTGAATTGGGTACAGTTCAACTTAATAATACTTTTACAGCTAATCCTAATTCCCTCTTTCTTTTTAGACGAAGTCTATAATCAATAATCACTTTTAACACAGATTCTAATTTTAATGTTTGAAAAACGGCTTTTGTAACTAAAATAAAAATACATAAAAAAAATTCTCACAAACAGCTATGAAATATCAGATACAATAATGGACTCAAAAAATAAGCAGCAGATTTAAAAAGAAAAGCAAAGCTTTAGCACTAATCTTTGAATTTCAAAAAACATACTAATTCAAAACTTCTATTCACTAAATGGTGTTTAAAACGTTTAACTGTGTCATAACACAATGTTCAATTGCAAATTTAGCAAATTTAACGGAATAACAACTATGAAAAGCCAAAATCCTAAAAGCAGTAGCTTTGCTCTGATTCAGAGCCAGAGCAGCGAAGGAGGGGGCCGTTTCCCTGACAACGGCAGCAAGATAGTGCGGCGCACACACACAGGCAAAAAGTAGTGTTTTAGCAAAAATGCAAAAACAGAAAGAAGAATAACTTTCAAGATTACTTTGTTAAGCAAATATAACTGATGTTGTTCTTTAAACTTTTGTCATCCAAGTCTAGAAGTGATCACTTTCCACACTTGTAACAAAAGGCACTCTTTACTCTTTAATTTCCCTTACGCTTCTATTTTATTGAGGTAGCAAACTAGTTTAAACTCAAAATCTCTTTCTAAAAAACAAAAACAACTGTTGGATACAACCCTCTCATAGCTTAACTGTAGATATAACTCAGCAAAAAATGTAAATAACTCACAAAAGCTCTCATAGCTCAACTTTAGATAAAACTCTGCATTCTCCGGTGAACTCTGTTCACGCCGAAAACAAACTAAAAAACAAAAACTCCCTTATTCTGTATGTAATTTAAACCGTGATCACTGAAATATTGTTGCTTCTTTACTTTTGTCATTTATCAGCCTGAAATTCGTCAATTTCAAAGCTTTTGTAACAAAGGCCTCTTTAACACATTTCCCTTTTTATTGCTTTTATGTTTACACCATGGTTTCACTTTTTGGATCCTACACTTTTATGGCCTTTACACTTTATGGATCCTATACACTTTATGGCCTTTTCACTTATGGATCCTATACACTTTATGGCCTTTTCACTTATGGATCCTATACACTTTATGGATCCTCACTTATTTGAACACAATTTAGAGAGTTCGACAGACCTCAAAAACAGACCAGAATTTACTAGAATCCAATTATGCAGACTTTACATATAAAAAGGTGTGTGCTTACCTTATTCTTGTCAAACAGGTGCATGCACGGCTGTCCGAGAGGTCTGCCAACTCTTTTCCGCGTCGGAATATTCAATTTAAACGCAAAAGTGACAGAAGCGACAAGAAGCAGCCAGGAACAGCTCTTCCAGCCTGCTGGAATCTCCGCTCCCAGACACAGCATGCCGATCTCTCACGCCGAGGAAAAGAAACAAAGAAATCTCCCTCAAAACAATCCAGAGAATGGCACACACTGAGCCGCGCATTCTCCACCAAATCTGTCAGGGATGAAGCAGACAGAAACGGATCGTGGTGCGCCAAACTCTGGAAGTTTATTTAAGTTTCTCTCAAGTTCCACTGGTTTACTTTGTTTCTTTCTCTCAGACAGAATAAAGGCAGTACACAGTTTATATAGTCATTGTCACGTCACACATCGAAAGACATACGTGTCACAAAGAGACAGTCAAATCATAGTCATAACATGGAGTCCTTGTAGAGTCCTTGTACAGTCCTGCACGTAGGCCATATTGCTATCTAATACTAACACCGTACATACATATATCCTTTGATGAGCACTTACACTTTCAACATGTCTTTTGTCCTATTGGATTTATTTAATTGATTTTGACATGACAAGCTATAATCAATGATGATCAAATATTTATCTGATGTGTGTGTGTGTGTGTGTGTGTGTGAGTTTGAGCATTTACAAAATCCGGGTCTACAGTGTGCTGACCAGATCCATGCTGCAGACTGACTGAAGTAGTTGTGCAGCATGGCGCAAAGTTGTGCTCCCCCTCAACCCTGATTAGCATTTGTATAGCTCACAGCATTCCCATTTACATGTTAAAGCCTCCTATGGAGGAGGGAGGAGGGGACAACAAACTACCGTCAACAGCCGAATCCCAGAAGTTTCACAGTAATATACAGGGCCGAAAAGAGACGAAAATCACACTTTTCATGCAGTGAGCTTTAATAGTAGCCATTAGTAATTGTTATGAATAAATACACATTTTGTCTTGAAATGTTGAACCTCCAACCCAAAAAAAATTAAAAAAATAAAATTACATTAAAAAACGGAGAAAGAAAAAAAAGAGAAAGTGAACAACATTAACCCAACCCCCTCCCCCCGCACCTACCACTATCCCATCCCCAAATGACAGGATACCAGTGCGGACTCCAATTGGAGCCAAAGAAATACAAGCTAAACTCCCAGTTCCGAAAACACCTATCCTCTCTAACTTAACTGGAGTCCCTGCGGAACAAAAAAAAAAAAGAAGATTGATAAGCCAAGGATGCACATTTACACAAAATTTTTTTAAAACCAGTGAACGTGTGTAAACAAAAGTATATAATATTAACTTAGTAAAACAAGAACAGTGTCACTGCCTTAAATATACACACTTTCGCCGTCTTTGCCGTGAGGTCTGGAAAGATGGAGATTGTGGAATCCTGAAGCCTTATGCGCTGTCGGGTCCTGGCTCGTTGCAAAATGTCGGCGCAGTCGGTATAATAATGCAGACGTGCTATCACAGGTCGCGGCCTCTCACCGTGTTTTGGTGTAGGGATCATAGAGCGATGTGCACGATCAATAACCGGGTCCTTGTCCAGATTAAAGACTTCCCTGAGCAACCTTGAAATCGATGTTGTGGTAACAGGAGAATGTTGTTCGGATAAGCCCACAATTCGAACGTTATTACGTCGCGATCTGCCCTCCAAATCTTCGCACTTGTTCTCCAGAGCTAAGACCTGAGTGGAAAGCCTTTCAACAATGTGTTTAAGCGTCTCCACATCATTTGTACAATGCGATAGGGAACTCTCCATTTCAGCCACTGTGCCCCGTAGCTGACTCACATCAGTCCGGATAGTTGCTAGGTTAGCCGTTAGCTCCGTCTTAATCGATAGCAGTTCCGCTTTGATCTCCGACACATTTAAAGTCATTTCTGTCTGCAACTCAGCTTTGAAGATACCCGTCATTTCTTGACAAAGAGCTGCAAGTAACTCTGCTTTAAAATCTGTTGAGGCCATACTTGTAGACAGGACGCAACTCTTATAAAAAGCCAAAATAGATCTATAACATCATAATACGTTCATACAGCGTCAGTAAAACATCCAGATAACCTTTAAAAAACAGGTTCCGCGGGAGCCCCGAGACGTGCGTGTTACTCCATGAGCCTCAAGACCGGAAACACACCCTCAGCACCTCCTTCTGAGCGCCTCCCTTCACCTTCCTAGAGCAACTCCCTCTGACAACCTTCCTCCTCTGCAAGAGTCCCTGAAGTTT